TGACGCTTTGGGATCCAATTTCGGCTACGCGTCGCTCGTTGATCTTTTTGTGAGTTACAGCTACCACGTGACCGGCTTCGGGACCGAAGGGATCGCTGAAAAGACTTTGAAGTGGCCTCTTGAACTCCATCCAGGCAAGACGAAATGACGGCCAGTTGAGTGGCAATGGGACTTGATTAATCGGCTGTGTCGACAATGGCAGAACAGTTAAAGGATGTGCTCTGTAAATAGAAAGCCATGGCGTTGTCGGCTCATTCGGACTTAACGCTGAGGGGCAGACGACGCATGGTGCCAGGGTCGTGCAAACAGCCTTTGGGATAGATTTTCAACCCAAAAATCGCGAAGTAAGTTTTCGTCGAGCTCTAGCTGCATGTTGCGCAAGAGTTGGGAAGGCTTAAGGGAGCCCACAGAAATTCCTTGGACTACTGATTTTCTCTTGGGTGAATAAGCCTGTGCGAGTTAAGACGGCGTCCCGGAGAGTCTGTTAAGGACGCTCCTTTGGGGCTGGATTTATGACGTCAAACCCTGGTTCAACAACATCCAATGGTAAAGCTTACAACAACTGATGAAATTTTGAATCGGACTGAGTGATGCCTCGGGTCGAGAAATGGGATTTGATCACCGAAAACCACACGGAGGGATTCTTATGATAGAAAGGCGGACTAATAAAATTGCCCGCGTTCATGAATACCAGGTGCTGTTTAACACGAGTGATTTTCTTTGATTCGGTCATGATTTGGGACATAGCAGACTAAATACTGTCAAAAATAGAACCGTAACAGTAATTTCGTAAAAATACCCAAACAGAACAAAACGGAAAAATATTTTCTCAAAATAAACTAATTACACCTCACGTAGCGCAAAAGATATAAAACTCGAGAAAAATAACGCCAATGGTTCTTGAAAACAAAAATTCTTAAAAATGGACCAAGAATCAGAAAAATGGAACGGGCTCACCAGTTTAGAGATGGAGGATGAAATATCAAGACCAGCGACAGCGGAGCAATCTTCAACCCCCAGCGTTTCTCGATCACCCGGTATAAATCAGGAAGAACAACTGGTTAGTCAAGGGAAAGTGTTCGCGGAAGTTACCGGAGTTTAACCTGACGGCGCACTTTGGATCGTTGACACGAAAAACATTGTTTCGCCCACATTCGAAAGTTCTTATTCATGGATGGGCGCACGTTACCATCCAACACCCCCCTGTTATTTGCTTATTCTTTGATCATTCTAAAAGCCGCAACTTTTATTTATTAAAAAGCTTTTTTGACGTTTTTATTACATCGTTCAAAATTTAATTTTATGAAATATGAGAGTGCGTTTTAGGCTGATTTGTTATAATTTGTGACCATGAAACATGTCGGAGGGCTCGAACATGTACCGTATGTTCCATCAAATTCAAGTAGAGGTGTGTATTGAATATTTGCAGGACCGCCATTTACTGCCTGAAACACCTACCTGTGCATGCAGTCGCACAATAAACATGCAGGAGTTACTTTTAAAAGCAAATACGGTCGAGGTCGTCCGACACCCACTGTGTGGATGTTTGGAATGTACGACCCTATAACTGGTGCCTATACGAATAATTTCGAGTCTTTTTGGAGTCACATTAAAAGGCGATTAAAAACGTTACCGGGTCAGTGGGTGATGTTATATGGGAACATTTAAATGAGGTACAGTACCGCATGTGGTTTAGTTTTTCCGTACTAACGTTTATTAATGACACTGACACCTATTTACGACACGTAGCGCAGTTGTATCTATGTTGATTGACATTTACGACTTATTACATTATTCTCTTCATTATTATTTGCGTTTTTTTAAGTGTGTGCATTGGGTGATGTATTTATACTGATTATGAGTAGTATCTTTTTACGAAAAGTGCCTTTAGGGTGTGCCGGATGGTAACGTGAGCCCACGGATGTTCAGATTTATCGTGCAGCAATCAAACGAAGTTATGCTGCGATACCTGAGTAAGTTAAGCCATGTAAGATGTCTAAAACTAAGCGACGATAGGATGAGGGTACTATAGTTCGAGGTAGACCGGCAGACATGTCACATAAGATGGTACCATTAGAAGTCGTTGGTGCTATTGCCTGATATCTTAAGAAAGTTGAATGGACCGATTCTTCGCAAGAAGAATCATTTGTCTGGGCGTCAGCCATAGCAATGATATCCAAAGAGGGCTTTATCGCATTAACGTGAATACGTAATAAAGCGCCCGCAACACAATTCGACTTGCGTGCTTTATAGTGTTCTCATATTCCATCCAAACGTCCACTTCCGACGCGGATTAATTTTCGCAACATTTAAGACAGATTGTTCCTGTTGAATGATGAACTGAACTTGATGAAAGTCCTTCTGACTGTTATCTCGATATCAATTAGCTTACTTATAAGTAGTATTTACACTAACGGTAAAATTCGCCAATTTACCCTTTCATTCCTGCCTTGGATTGTTATGCATTCATTTCATAATCTTAAATCACGTAGATTAATGTTATGCACTGGATTTGAGATTGCACAATTCGTGCGTTTACCTGCGTTGAATCCCAGGACTTGACATTTTATCACGATAGCTCCAACGTGGAACATTTTAGTGTATTTAACTTATTAACTGAGGGGCTCGCACACGATCAGAAAACGTTTTGTAAGGGTAGAAGGCTATCGTCTCTCTAGCGTAGACTGAAAGTGCATTCTGTGTCACGTAAGTTTATACTTTATTTCATAAAATCCTTCATCTTTCTCCGCTGTTTATATTGTTCGTCAGTTGTTCTCCTGGTTTCCTTGCGAAGGATTTTGTTCCTGTGAGAAGATACCCAAGGTTCCTCACAAAATACAGTTGACTTCCTACAGTGACCCTTGCAGAGTATATTGTTACCAGATACATTGATGCCCCTCACAAATTTACCCCTTACATACTTAAAGCCGTTTACACCCTCGCACGACAAATTTGCATAGAGGCAAGTCGACACCCTAGGTGCACAAAGCTTATCTCGACTTGTATTCACTTGATCAATACAACCACGTTCACGTGCCCCTTCGAATCATCACTTGCAGTCATCATAAAGCATTTAGTCATTGACAACATCCACTGTTCCTGTTTGGACAGCAGCAGCAGCAGAAACAATAACAATACCAACACCAACAACATCATTCACTATTTTTAAATTCCCTTGATCACTGTGGTAATTTTCAGAAGAAGTCATCCTGATCAAGCTTTGTTTGCTGTGGTGTTTTCTTTAAATAGAACTTTGTATGTTGATTGTGAAAAGTTCCGTGGCCTCGGTGGGATTCGAACCAATGCTTTTGTATACGCTTTTGTATAGCGCGTGCTCTGTCAGCTGAGCTACGAGGCCACACCGATAGCACTGATCCTTTCACATTCGAATTGCTCATCCAACTTATGGAGGCATATGGCATCCATTGAGTGGGTAATTCGAATAGGACAAGGTTATTGGATTCGTCGGTTAGAATTCCAGCGAGGCCACCAAACTTTTGACAACTGACACACAAACTCCAAACTTGCCAAACAACAAGTTAAGTTGAATGAACACGGGATACTACATACAGATAACCGAACTCTCTCTCTCTCTAACACTGTATTGTGATTGATGTGAACTTTTTTCGATTCCTATCCACTACTCATCTCTCCCAGATAGAATGTGTTCTTATGGAGAGATTGTGAAAGATTTTTAGAACCTCCCATAAAGTGAAGATTTCTCACAAGAATTCTTCGCTCCAAGTGATAATCACACCGAATTTCTGAACATTTCACATTTAGCAAAAAATCCATAATCGCGTTAGAGTATCCAATCTTCAACAGGGGAGAATAAAATGAACAAGAAGAATGCGTATTACTAAAATGCAGATAAACTGGAAAAAAAAGAAACAAAACAAACAGGAAACTTGATTCGGAAAGAAAAAAATCAATACCTAAATGAGTGGGAGACTGGGGATGGGTGGATTGAAGGAGCAGTGAAAGCGGGATAAATGCGAGCACGGGAGACTGTTTGACACTGGCGGCCCGCGTTCAAGTCCAGTAGGACGGGCGAGTGTGTGCGCGGGTGCACTTGGGCGCGGGCGTGTTCGTGTGCTTTTGGAGTTTTTCTGTTCACAGTGTGACACGATAAGAATCAAGTAAGCAATTTTATCGCGATGCGATGGCAACAGATCACCTTGCATGCTTGTACGATTACACATTTGTACACGTCAAAATCAGCTATATTTCGATGGGATGAGGGGGGGGGCGGAGCGTTTTGTGCAATGCATCGAAAGTTCTTAAGCGTGACTGTCTATGCTTCCTACGGGTGTAGATGATACCTGATTTCGCTTCACTAAGCACGGAGACGGGGTTTGAGGTGGTTCTGGTGTTTTAGAACCGGGTCGTAAGGAAGTGTTGAACGACAGTGAGGGTGAACTGGTACCACAGGGTGTGGGACAGCGTTCGATAGGATCAACTGATACGCAATCCGATCCCTTCGAAGATCGTTTGTCCACATTTAATCCGTACACATTCAGATAACCGTCCGAGATAATACCTGAATCCTGACTTGTTCTGTTTTGAGCAAGTGTGATTCGGTTCGAAACCATAGTGTTATGCTTTTGTGAACTTGGCGTGGGTGAGGCCGGAGGAAGGGCCCAGTATTGTTCCCCCGGTTTGCCTATATCGTTCAGATCTCGTCCCACGGACGACAACACATCGGACTTTTCCCTCGGCCAAGGCCAGGTGGCCATGATCCAATCAAACGAGTCGGCCAAACTGACCGTGTGAGCGTCCGATGTGTGAGTCACGTCATCGGCAGATCGTGTTTTGAATAGGAATGGGATGAACAAGTTGTTCCACAGATCGGTGAACCAGTGTTTCGAGGCGGCCACATCAATAGGGCAAGCGAGGAAAATACGTAAACCGAAAATTGCCGGACACGCGTGTTGCGGCTGAGCATTGGACAGCCTATTCAAATGTTTCCATACTTTGGGAATCCACGTGACCAGCTGGGTGAGGGTCGTGTCAGGATCAGCGCTCTCGGAAGATGGATGTTTGGACTGATCCGGATTGGGTTGGTGTATGAAGAGGCGAGCTTGAGCCAGTTTACGTCTCAAGTAAGAGCTCAAGTAGGACGCCGTTGAATCGAAGTCGGTCAAGTGTTCAATAAAACTGAAATAGAGATTAGTGCAATTATCAGTGGTGATCTCCAATTATTCGATGAAAATGGAGCGATGCAAAAAACGTTCAAGGAAACTTGACAACTTGCGTTCTCGTGCACCAATCGATGATGATATGATTCTAATTTCTGGGGCTCACTAGACATACCTATTCGTCTTACTGTTGTGCGACTGAAAAGATCAGTAGTGTTATACATTCACAAGACAATGCCGAGACCACAAAGAGTGCATATTACGAACAACGGTAAGGATATCGATAAAACGGAGTGCATACAAACAAAACTTCTCATTGGGCACAGGTCATCATAACTCCCAAAAGCACGCATGATATAATTGGAACAGTTGCGACAGTTGATGCGCATTTTCTGTTTCTACACTTTTTATCACAATAATTCACTTTAATAGGTTTTGTTCATTTTGGACCGCTAGCCACACTACTCACAAATTTGAGTAGTACCTCACAACAGTGGTACTATTTATTTGGTAGCCTAAGCCACTTAGATATCAAAGTAAAACACTTGAAAAGTAAGGTTGGTAATTTAGTTTCAGCATGACGAAAAAATATCAGAAAATAGCGAATAAGAATCGAACACGGAATTAAACTTTTGTGAATGATGTTTACTATGAAGAGACAGCGTATTCCGACCCCAGTTTTATTTATTCCTTTCGCTGTGGTGCAGAAAAATTATTCCACGATATGTAAGTTATTACGTACCCACAACCAAATATTCACGATTTTCTGGTTGAAGCTTTGCCTGTCTCACTTAGTCCCGTAACGCAACACGTGAGCGTTCAACCATCCATCTATCAAAGGACTTTAAATTTACCTCAGCTTTACCTTAGCTTGGAATACCCGCCGACGGTATTCTCATCATGATCTTGAAGTTTATCTATTGCACGTAGACAGCTGAGTCAGGGCGCAAATATCTGATAGGCAATATCAATTCCGCTAACAATGTATCACACTTATGTATTTTAATCCCGTCCGTCAATGCGCCATATTCCCGTCTGTTCTAACTTCCATTGTGTATCTGTGAACCCAGTTCGAATGCAACTTTTGAATTAACTTTAAACAGTGATAGACAAGTATGAATTTGTGCAACCTCAATCTGCAGGTCATTTTGAAGTAGTTGTTTATATTTAAACACTGCGCGAATACACACACGCACACACACACACACACTGAATGTACGGCACAATTAAAAAAGACCAACTTACTGAACAGCGAAACGTGTTTCTAAAACCTTGAGTTGATCGTTCAACAAGTCACTGGTGGCCAGAATTACGGGCCTACAAAAAAAAACAGAGATAGAAGAAATGTGATCACATATTAGTTTATGCACACGCAGGGTGATAGGTTAATCAAAATCATCTGGTCTTGTGGAAACGATGCAGCTGCTATCGCATTGTTCTCTAACTCGGTCGTCCGTGTTTCTGTCACAATTTTCACCCGTCGGTTCGTATGGGCAACATGGGGGCGCACTCTTAAGTGCGTCATCCTCAAATGATGATAATTACTCTGTATGTGTGTGTGTGTGTTACTTACTGCGAAATATCACAAACAGAGATAACCTGACAAATAGCAGTACGGGAACCATGTGAACACTAGACGTAGGCGAATTATCGCATGGTCATTTTTCTCTAGCACTTCAACAGTGAACACACACCAAGATAGATCAATTGGAGGTCATGAGAGAGTTACGCACTTGCAGACGGTGATGGGTTCGCATTGGTTTAGTCCCTGTCACCGGCATGCTTTGAACCCGATGGTCCGAGGTTCGAGCCCCACCACCGCCACCCCGCTTTGGTGGTAGGCAGCTCTGCTGTCGTCCAGTTCAAATACCACGCCTAACCTATCCGGGGCCTTATGTGGTTCGCCACTCGAAGTCCTACGAGGCTTAAGTTGCCGGTTTCCACCACTGAACAGTAGATCCTCGTGACTGTGGGGTTCGCTCCGTCTGTTGTTCATCACACACTTAGGTGTGTAGTAATAAAAAAAAAATTAAACGGTCTACGGTAGAGCTGACCGCATTTTTGTGGTCCGCAAAAATCACATTATGCATCCTTTGGGAATCAGTAAACGAGCGGTATTTACCATATCATCGTTTGCTTAAGACCTACGACAGTGATCACACCCCCGGTGGAGCATGAACCGGAATTGGTTTGAGGCAGATTACAAATAACGGTAATTTAGCTATATATATATATATATATATATATATATGCATACACGGAAGTCATTTTTATATTGTTATTTACCAGAAATCACAACGAGTACATACGAATTCGTAAGTTCACTATGAACCACGGTTGCATAGAATTTCATTTTCGTCTCACCCTATCACCAGACTGATACACGCAAATGAGTGCCGAAATTTCCGTTCTTATTCCAGAGCACAAATGAACGTCAAAAACCAACATATATACACAGAAAAGTAAGGCATCACTAGTTTGGTAATGAAACCGAGTAAATGTAACAGTATTACTATCAGTGGTTCTTGGCTATGTGATCAGCGGTTTTTAACCACACATGTGTGTAATCAATCCGACATGGCCTACTGATCTGGTCTGTTTGTTCATTTACTGTTGCCAACCCAACTCCTCAACATGTTCACAATTTACAAAGGGAAAAAACATACCAAGGTGTGGTGTAATTCTTGTTCAGTGAGTCGAGCATCTCAACCAAGGAGCCTTGTATGTGATGCAGGTTCTCCAAAATCATCACTTGGGGAATACCGTGCCTGTTGAATGTGGCCAGGTGTTGAGCAATAAAACAGTGCAATTCTTTGACCATTGTGGATCCATTTGGTTTCACATAGAACGATCGTATAGAGTTGGGTTGTTTGGAGCTGTTGATGGGTGCAAAGTTGAGATAAGACACACAAAAACAGACAGATTGAAGCTCAAGCTCTCGGTTACTACACAGATAATTTCATAAAGTTTTATTCCCACAAACTTTGGCAATCGTTATTGAAAAAAAAAACTGTGCACAATTTAAATTTCTCACTAGTTAAGTACTTGACTGTGTGAAAATCGATATTTCAGAGCTCCATCATGCACCATATGATGAGCTCGTTGTCTTTCGGCAAATTCGGGAGGCAGTAAATGAAGCACGACATTTATAGTAAGACATTAAGGTAAATCTTTACTTATGCAATCACTTATTAATGCAACCTAAGGAAGGTTATCATGCTTGCAGTTGAACCAAACCATGAATTTTAAAATTTGTCATTCAAACGAGTACAAATTTGTGACCCGAGAAAACTGATATGACGGGAAACTCAATCAATATGGATTTCAATCTTGCTCGCCTTCCCATCTTTCATGTGTCAGCGGTCTGCGTCTCAGCGGCTACCGTCCACTCTACTTATGAACATTTTGAGATTTCTACGTTCAATAGTGTGGAGAACTATAAAGATTATTATTCCATTCTCTCAGTACTCAGTTGGGGAAGCATCACAGTTGAATTCCGTCCTCGTTGGGGTGTGTTAAGAGTACGTGTACGTTATTTCATCCTTGGTTTGAACCATGCATGCACTTATTAAGTCTGTGGAGGCGTGTGTACTATCGCAGTGGTATCTAGTTTACCGAGAGACGTAGACGGCTAACTGTAACGGAAGATCTTCTGACCAGTCGGGTATTCCACACCGGTTCGAATGAATATCATTTGAACTTCAATCTCCCTCGCTGTTCCAACCCTCGTGCGTCAGCGGACAGCGTCTTTTTGGCTGCAGTTCAACCTCTTTCTGATTATTGGAGATGTTTACGTTAAATAGTAGCAAGTATTATTACTTCATCTTTTCAGCATCCAGCTGAGAAAGTACCACAATTGGGTTCCGCTCCAGTTGCAGTGCCTTCGGGGTACGTGTGCATCATTTCATCCATGGTTCCAACCATGGACCCCTCAAGTGTGTATCTGTGGAGGCGCTTGTAGCACCGGTGTGGCCTCTAGCTTACAAAGGTGCTACGCAGGAGATACATAGCTAACTGTAACAGGATGCCTTTTGATCAATCACGTATTCCACATTGATTTGAGTACATGTCCCCGGAAGAATTGCATCCTCGACCACACATCCCTCAAAGAAGATTGATTGTATGGGAAAATCCGTGGAAGAGGGATCAAAACGAGTTTAAACGGCGGCAATGGTACCACATGGTGTTCATACATTTCCGTATCGAATTTGTTTATCAGTGCAGCTAAACAAATTCAGTCAAATACAGATGATTGGAATCGGTTTGGGCACCTTATTTCTTCTGATTTTGTTTAGTCTCCCAATTGGAGATAGACTGATTCCCTGTCTGATTTTGGATTGCTGTTCTCTGTCATTTTCATATCAGTCATTTCAGGTCACATGATCCTCCATCGGAAACTGTTAATTTCCATTCCCGACTGTTGTTCGTGTTTCGTGTTTCTCATGGTGCAGAGGCATATAGTTAAGGGCTACTGATTGACTATAGATTGTTCGCATTACCAGATTCTCCGTGACACGAGGAGCAACATTCAACGATTTTAGAAATAATTTTTGTCAGAAATGCTGCACCTGATTGCCTGTTCGAATAAATTATGTGAAAAGAACTTTACTGGGTTGAAATACCGAATGCAGTGTTAAAACTAAGATTTTATCGAATTAGGAAAACCCGGACATAGCTCTACCAGCCATGAAGGAACCTTTTGCGACACAGTGAAGAGTTTAATTGTATTTGTATGATTACGTTGTATATTAAGCTATATATATGTATATATATACCATTTTCACACGGATTAGAGATAATCGCTAAAGTGGATAGCCTACTTAATACCAGAACAGTGAAAGGGTCAATCCTGGATCTGCTCCAAATTCTCGCGTGTGGCACAGCTCATAAATGGTAAAGACACTGTTGCTCTTTAGGGACTCGTTTTGTGCATGAGTAATTCTGAATAGTGATTGAAGTCGAGTAGACTGATCGAACGTGTTAAGTGCAATGAACTCTGCGGTATCCTGACTACTATAGAACAGCGAGGGGAGTCGGTGTGGATCCCTCCTGATTTGCTGTTCATGCGGCCCTAACGATAAAAAAGGAGCGAATATTAGTGTATTTCACACGGGTCTGAATCCAGGCTGTGTTCGAAAAATCACAGTATTATAACCGTTATCAAAAAAAAGAAAAACAAGTTCTATGATTTGTTTGTGGGCGCCATGTTTCTAGGTTGCCTAGGCCAAAGTAGGTGGCCTTTTCAGGGAATGCAATACCGGATTCTTCGACTAACCAAAGCCTGACTCGCACGACAACACGGGCGATTTGCAAAAATTGCAATTCGTTGCGGGTCGGTGTCCAGTTCATCGGATCGTACACCATTTGAACGGGGTCGAACAGCCCATGTGCCCAATACACATCGATACCCAATCGAGTCGGTAACCACTGCCATAACCGGGAAGGTGCTGATGTTTGTGGTATGTACGCCTCTTCTTGGTTGGTTTGGAATCAGAGTTTTTAGCCAACCGCCTGAATGAGCTGCCACGGGTTCACTGACCCGGTTATAGCCCCGGGCATTGGCATCTCACCTTCTAACAATGCTTGTGGCACGTGTNGCTGATGTATAATACCGTTCGTTGAACTACATGGAACCGAGCTCATGAGTCGGGCAATTACATAATTTTGTACATGGCGTCCAATACGCTTCTAATGATAACAATATTAAATACAGATAAGGCACAGTCGACGATTCCAAACAGGGCGGGTATACATGGTCACTGTCATGCTGAGTTCGTAAAAAAAACAAGTTCAAGAGAATGTACATGATCATACTCCGCCGAGTGTCTGCCGCATGCGAACGGTGCACGTGTGAGAACCAGGCTGGTTTTAGACACGG